ACAGGATCACGCTTCCTTTTACTTCAGTGATTAGAAAACGCAGTATGATCCTGCCTCGCTATGCCATGTAACTAGTCGAGTCTTCTTTATTGTCCAGAATTTGGCTAAGAGAGTACTTGAAAAGAGCGTCCTTATACACCTTATTAGGTGAACTCTAGAGTAAGTGATGTACAGTTCATGGAATTGAATATACCTCAATTATGCTGCCACTTAAAAAAAAAATACATCCCTTTTAGCGATGCCCTAAATTCATCAAGAGTTAGACACATCTTCTACATCTTTTCAAGCCCACTATACCAACTTCCATAAAATTCATACTGCATTGGCTCATTTTTATCCCTGGGGGTAGGACTGTGGTTAATTGATCTTCACATTCTCCTCAACTCACATAATGTCTGGCACAAAGGGACATTCAGGAAATGTTTGTTGAGTGAATGCTTCAAAGAATATGACCCTTAAACAGAGTGATACATGGTTGAAGCCAACAATAATAAATCTAGCAAGGGTTAGAAGTGAGTTTCAGTTACCTGGATTGATGTTAATTGAGTATAATTTGTCACTTAGAAAGGAAATTACTTTTAACATTGAATTGCTCTTATCATTGATAATACTAGTCTTTAAAATACGAACGACTGGCATATGAATGTACTTGTACTTTAAAGAAATATAATCATTTCCCAGTAAGATACAGCCTTTGCTTTCTGTTTGAATTCCAAGAGTTCGTGTTTGTCGGTATCAGTTTGCTTACAGGGATGAATCACCAGTGGCTGCTATAAGCTGTATTTAATTAGCTTTAAAGCATTTTTCTAAGAATTTCTGTCCTTACCACTTAAGCTCCATTAATTTTCTTGGCTGCCATATTATAGAACAAATAAAGTGAACACGTCCTTTTTAGTGGGGCCAAATTTTTCATTATAAATACTTAAAACTAGTATTCACTTGCAATGGAAGAATCTTTTCTTGGGAAAAAAATATATAAACTCGAGAGATTTTGTTTTGGTTTTCTGTTTTGTTTTCAGATTGTTTCTACAAATGGTAAGGATCAATCTTCATAGCATATTTCTAACAAGTTTTCATTACTTGTCAAAACAGCAAACTAATTTATAATATTCCATGTTCTTATTTGGAAGAAAATAATCTAGAAGAATTAGATGAAGACAACATTAGCAAATTTTCAGTGCTTAATCTATTCATTGCTTTCCTGACAGAGGGTGTTTCCTGGCATAGGAAACCTGGCTTCCTCTGGACCATTCATCAGGAAAGAGAGGGAAACTGGAGAAAAGAGATAAGGGGTCCTCTCCTTCCTTTCCTGATCTAATGGACTGGAGCAGAAGAGGAGCTGAATGAAGAGTCTCATGCAGTAACTCCTCATTTTCTATATACTGGGTTTAGGAGGAACGGTTGCATCTCAATAACCTCCACTACCGGGAACCAGCAGTTAGCGTAATGGCTATGTCGCTGGATTCCCACATAGTGGACCGCGGTTCGTGTCCCGGACCCGGTGGCTTAAAACTCACGCCCGGCGCGTGTGCGTGTGTGCCCAAGATCCCGAGAGGAGAATGGAGGAGAAGGGATTGCGGCGTGACCATCCCCCCTGGGGGGTGATTTCTCACTTTCTGTCTCTATGTCTCTCTCTGTCTGTCTGTCTGTCGAGCGCACGCGCCCTACAGTGAAAATCTTTCAAAAAAAAAAAATAACAAAATAAATAAAATTAAAAAAAATAACCTCCACTACCCCCAGTCCCATGGTTCCCTGCCTCTGCACCTTGCTTGCCTACCTTTTGGAACTTTGGAATATAGCTTTCATTTGTTTATTCTTTCTTCCATCGACATCATTCACTAGGTTATAAGCCTCCATGAGGCAGCATCAGTGTTTCTCTCACCACTGAACCAAACACGATAGGAATGCAATACATTTTGGGAGGAGGGAAAGAAATCAAGGTAAAAATATGGCACGCCATGCTGCCTGGAATGAAAATCTATTCTAATGCCAAATCTCTAGACAGAGAGATCTTGAATACAGTGGGAGAGAGCAGGACAAGAGCGAACCTAGATCAATGTCTGCTTCTAGAACAGGCAAGCCTGTGAGATAAAAGTACCCCCAATGCCCTCCTCATTTCCTATTTAGTATTCTTTTCTTTGTTTTGCTTATTAGCAGGATTACAACAGTATTACTTTAAAAGTAAATACTTGCTCTTAACATTAGGTTATGGTTTTCAGAGGCTTGCTGCTTACCCTTTATAACATTGTTTTTGTAGAAAATGAATTGAAGATTCCAAATAACTGACCCACAAATAGAACACAGTCACAACATAAATTATAACCTGTCTCTCATGTCCATTTCCCTCTTCCTCTTCTTTCTTCTCTCTTTTCTTCCTTTTAATCTTTCTTCCTCTTTCTCCCTCTCTCTCCTTTTTAAAAATTTGCCAGAGAACATATGTGTTTGCCAAAGAGAAACAAAAAAGGGGGACAGAAAGAGAACCCCCCTAAAGGGCCATGGTCACACCCCAATCCCTTCTCCATCCTGTTGGAATACTGAGCAAGGATGTGTACATGCCCAATGTGATTTTCAAACTACTGAGTCTGGGACTTGAGCAGCATAGTTAGCCATGTGGGATCTTGCTCCCTTAATCATCAGGCCGGGGTGCCTGTGCTCTCTCTCTCACTTTCTCTCTCTTTATAGTCTATCTCTCTCTCTCTCTCTCTCTCTCTTACACACACACACACACACACACACACACTCTTTATATTTTTTTCTGAAACAAGAATATAAATGAGTAATCACACCAGTCTCATATCCAGTCTCATATCCAGTTCTATAATTGTTTAGTAATAATAACTCACAGACTGAGCCCTCACTAGTCCTGTTGAACTCACTCAACATTAACTAATATGCTAGCTGAGGCATTATACTTTATGCTTGGTTTGTCCAAAGAGCCTGCTAACTAGTGTCCTGATTTCACTCCATATCCTTTCTCTCCATTCTGAGTGCAAAATAGCTCATACACTACCTCTGAAGCACTTCTATTCATGTTACTTATTTTTCTTACAAAATTCTAGAAACAAGTGAATAAAATTTACTTTCCAAATTTGTAGTCAAGGATGTCAATATCATTGTCCGAACCACCTTTCTTATGTTACTTCCTACCACTCAACAGAGACCCTTCACTACAGCTTCAGGACTCATTAAGATTTCATTATTTCCTGGACAAACCTTTAACTGCCTCATCTGTGTATGTCCTCACTCGTATTTGTTCTGTTTCTGGTTTCCTTTCATTCACAGTCCTCCTTTATTGACCAAATTTAGTCCCAAATCATTGGTAAAAATTTCCCTACCACCCCAAGATGAAGGATTATTTCCCTATACCCCTTTCACACTTAGAATGACCCCCTATTTTTACAATTGTTTTGTTTTCTATACCAGCCTCACAACCATCCTATGTGTAAACATTGTAAGTATTTACACCAGTGAGGGGAGGAGAAAGGTATTCAGCAATGTGAAGGAATTTATCCAAGCTGGATAAGTAGCAGAGGACAGCTGGAATGAAGTAGAGATTGTCTTCAAACCCTTGCCTTCTAACTCCACATGAAATCTATACTTAGCCCCGACTATTGCGTACATATTAGAAATCATTTGCATCTTGGGGCCAGCAGGAGGGATGGTGATTAAGGGCATGGACTCCCATGTGGCTGACTGTGGTTCAGGTCCCAGACCTGGCAACTTGCTTTCTCACTTTCCCTTTGTCTCTCTGTCTCTTGCTTGCTCTGTCTCTCTCTGGTCAAATTTAAATAAATAAATAAAGTTAAATAAAATAATTCTTATAAAAAGAAATTATTTGAATAATTTCCCCTGTTTTCCAAATTAGATTACAATTTCCTTAAAGGCAAAAGTTCTATAAAGAACTTGTTCTAGTCCATCATAATACACACACTGACAATTCATTGAAAATTTCCTTGAGTGACTCTCAGAGTAGTTTAATACCTCTAACCTATTTAAGAAGTCTCAGGGATCTTTGTGCTCCTCTCACATCCAATATTTAGATTTTGAACACTCAGCTGAACACTTTGCAATAAATGGAAATACATCTTAGCTATTACTTCACTTCTTGACTCAGTTTCCCTCCCCTCCCGAAAAAAATTTACAAATTATGAAGATAGATACCTTTGATAAATAAAATGAGAACTGTGGGTATTTAAATATTCATTATAAGCTGTAGAAATGAAAACAGAAGGCAAACTATATTTTATTATTATTATTATTATTATTATTATTATTATTATTTTGTAGAGGTTTTTCACTATAGGGCATGTGCGCTCACCAGACAGAGAGAGACAGAGAGACAGAAACCAAGAAATCACCCCCAGGGGGGATGGCCATGCTGCAATCCCTTCTCCTTCATTCTCCTCTCAGGATCTTGGGCATGCACGCACACGTGCCCGGTGTGAGTTTAAGCCACCGGGTTCAGGACTTGAACCGCAGTCAACTACATGGGAGTCCAGCGACTTAGCCATTACGCTAACTACTGGTCCCAAGGCAAACTATATTTTCAAAACTCATCTGATGTTAAGAATAATATCGGGCACTTGCTCAAATATAGATATCTAGGATTTAGATTCAAGACTTTCTGAATCATGTTTCTCTACCATGGTTTTTAATGAACACATGATCCCAGAGAGCATTCTCTAAAACAATGGACAAGTGGCAAAGTGACATTGATGAAAGGCTCAGCCACAGACCATCATGTTTGTGTGAACCACTCATGTGTTTGGAAATGACTGCTTGCGGTTGTAATCCATACTGCAGGCAAAATTTGTCCTGTTTATAAAAAAGTATTCAATATTTCAATACTTCTAAGCATTCCATAAAAAGCTTCTACAACACCCAAGTCAGAAAGTTACTGAACAAGAATAAGGCATCTGAGAGGAGAATTTAAATACTCAAAGGATTTCATGACAAGTAAAGAAAGTCGTCTTTTAAAACTGAATTGAGAAGGTACTTACAGGCTCTCCGCGTGGTCCATCCAGCCCTGGAGCTCCTGGGGATCCCACTTCTCCCTTATAGCAATTTGATAAAAAGAAACAGAGAATCCCACGTTCAGGTATGCTTACTAAAATAACAAGTCATATACACATGTGTGTATATATATATATATACACACACACATACATATTAAAGCATATTAGATACAAAGAGAAAAATTAAAATTCCTTCTGAATTTGTTAACTTTTGTTGACATTAAATAACTTTATCAGATATTCATAAAACATGACCCCATAGAGGCCAGCTAGTGGTGTGGTGGTTAAGGCACTGGACTCCCACATGGCCAACTGCAGTTTGAGTCCTGGACCTGGTGGCTTGAAATTCATACTGGGTGCATGTGCATGTGTTTTCAAAACCCCAGGAGGAGAGTGGAAGAGAGGGAAAGAATCTTGGAATGTATGTACTGAAGCACAGTCTAATGAATTTCTCAAAACTGTTGAAAAAGAAGCACAGAAGAACCTATGAAACCTGGCTCAAATAATCAGCAGTTAGAAAAATAGTCAACCATACCACATTATATAAAAAATGATTCTCCCACTTTTATGAATTCTTGCATTTCATCAGCACAGTGAAATACCAACTAAAGCCGAATATTTCATCTATTCCAGTTTTGATTACAAACACTGACAGTTGAGGACAGAGGGAACAAAGAATAATATTTTCCTATAAATTAACCAGATTGGAGGGAGAAAAGAACCTGTAGACTCAGTGGTTCTACAGAAAAGTGGATGAACATGTCAGAGAAAACAAAAATGTAAATTGGATCCATTTAGTTTGAAACTATAGTTTAAAAAAATCTGAGAAATTTGAGACCAGAAGTATGTTAGGTCTTAATACTATCCTTATAATGCCATACTTGTTAACAGATCAGAACTTAACACCCCTATAAATGGACAGAAAGAATCTTTCAAATTGAGGGTTCTCAAAAGTGGTTCCCAGACCAGCCAGATCCAGATCAGCTCCTTCACTCAGAAGGAAACTTAATCAAAACACACAATTGCAGGCCCTACAACAGTTGACAGGAGCAGAAGCCCTGGGGTGGGGCTTCTGTGTTTTAACAGGTCTCCAGTTGAGTCTGGTGACATATGCTTGAGAACACTGGCAGGGCTGTAAATCATCAGGCAGCTTAAAATCTCCTGCCCCAGGTACTGTGGTATGTGATTTACTACGCAAAGCTACGGTTTAGACTCTGTCAAATTATAGAAAAAAAAAATTATGATTGTAAAACTACTTTAGTTGTAAAAACAAAACAAAACAAACTCTCCATTTACTGCACTACCCATTGGCCTAATCTTATCATTTGATTCTGTCAGAAAGTTAAAAAAAAAAAAAGAATAGTCATCAGTGAAGTTTTATCAATAATGATGTTCTATAAATACTTAAGCATTTAATTTATTCTTATTTCACCTATTTCTTGTTAAGGCAGCTAATCAGAATTACAGAATTAAATAAACCAAATATTACCTATTTTTAGAATAATCTATAGCAGTGAATCTATAGCAGTGATTCTCAAACTTTAGCTGCACACAAGTTACCAAGAGGGTTTATTAAACTGCAGATCAGGCTGGCCTCGTAGTCAAGAGAAGCCAGATCCTGGCCATGGCATGAAAAAACACACTGGATGTGTGTGCAAGCACACCCCATCCCAATGTGATGGAGAAGTGGAGGAGAAGGGATTACAACACAACCATTTCTCATAGAGGTGCTTTCTCTTCCCTCCTTTCCCTCTGTCTCTCTGAGGAGTGCATGTGCCCTTTGGCAACTTAAAAAACTAAAACAAAAACCACGCAGATTATGGGCCCCATCCCAGAGCTCCTGATTCAACAGATCTAAATGGTCCCACAACTCTGCATTTCTAACAAGTTCCCAGGAGGTGCTGATCCTGCTGGTCCTGGAACACTTTGAGAACCACTGGTTTATCTCAGCTCTCAACACAGAAATTTATAGACCCTTTCTGCTCTTAGGAATCTTCTCTTCTATGAACTACATCAGCATAGTATAGCTTTACTGTATAGCATAACTTTACATCTAGCACGGAATTTTGAGTGCCCAGATTATTCAGCAAGTGTCTTGTTTATGAACCTGTTGTTTTTCTCACTGGCACCTTCAGGAAGATACTTTCCATGAGTTTTTAAAAATCACCCACAATAGTTAGAACAGTGCTAAAATAATGTAACATGATTTGTCCCTTCCTTTATAAACATTGGAGCACATTAGGAGAAGAGGAATGGACTAACTATTCTTAAAAGTTTCAAGGACAAAGGAAGTGGGAAAAACATTTGCGACTAGGGCTACCGTATTTGCTGTTATGCAGATTAGTTATTACAAGGTGATGGCCAGTGATCTTTGCCAAAGAATATTCTCTTGAATGTCGTAATAATAAATTTCAATAATGTTTCATCAGAAGATGAAAGAGGGACCAGCAGTTAACCTAATGGCTATGTCGCTGAACTCCCATGTAGCCAACCGGTGCAGTTTGAGTCCCGGACCTGGTGGCTTAAACTCACGCCGGGCACGTGTGGGTGCATGCCCAAGATCCTGAGAGGAGAATGGAGGATAAGGGATTGCAGTGTGGCCATCCCCCGTGGGTGGTGATTTCTCAATTTCTTTCTCTCTGTCTCTGTCTTTCTGGCAAGCACACGTGCCTTTTAGCAAAAAAAGTACTCTCCAAAAAATAAATAAATAAAGATGAAAGAATAATTTCTTCTTGGTCATTTTCCTTAAAATAGTCAAATAGTAAAACACAACTAGCCTGTGAAACTCATGATTACCACCAGAACTTAACCAGATCACTTGGCTGTTTTCATGACCTACAAAACCTGTATAGGTCAGCACATTTGGTTACTGAAAGAGGTGTTTAACATGACTCCACCTCGAATTCATCATTTTGCTCTTGTACTGCTTTCTTCTTGATAGAAAATTAGTGAGAAACTCTCATACTCTATATTATTCCTCAATCCAATTTCTTCAACTAACATCATGACAATTTATTCAACAACAAACAGCTTATATTTTTTATAAAAGAAATATAACCAAGAGCAGACATGTGAAACTTGCATTGCATGTGTACTTCCTCTCATGTTGTGGTCTTTGAGACTTACAAAAAATAAAAAGCTACAGAGTAATTTCATTTGTGGTCATAACAATCTTCAAAATCAGGTAGAAGGTATGGTTTACTGACCATGAAAATATAATTTAATTTTGAAGAAGATCTTTTCTTTGTTCTTAAGGAAATACATCATTTTGACTTTGATCTTACCACATGGTTTATTTTTACTGTGTAAACAGACTCTAGCATGCTAGAGGGTATACTGAAATCTAAGAGCTGGAGCCTCTCCTCCTGGCCAACCAGGAAACAGGCAAGACATTTGGACGGCATCACACATAGAAAGGATCACACAACCCAGGCCTGACATTTATTTTTTAATTTAAAAAAAATTTTTTTAACTGCCAGGAGGTGCATAGGCTTGCCAGAAAGAGAGACAGAAAGGAAGAAAGCACTGCCCAGTGGGGCATGGTCACACCACAATCCCATCTTCTCCACCCAGGGATCTGAGGCATGCATGCAGATGTACCCCACATATTTTCAAGCCCCCAGGCCAGGCTTTGAACCACAGTCAGCCATGGGGGATCTGGCTCCCCTAACCCCTAAGCTATGGGGCAAGACTTGAGACTCTTAATGTGCCATGGAACTAGCTATATATATATATATACACACACACACACATACACACACATATATATATATATTGTTAAATCCTTTAATCTCTCTGAACCTGCTCTTAGGTATAAAATGCCATTAGTATTTGCAACTTGACAGTTTGGGTTTTTTGATTGTTTATTTTTCTCTTTTAGGAAAATCAAACAAGAGCCTTTGTGAAAGTCCCTGCACAGCTCTAGGCACAGGAGAGATCTATTGTCACCAATAAATTATTGTTTCAATAATCCTTCGTCATGATTTATTTTAGGTTGTATTATTTCCAAATAGCGTATGCTATTTTTATATTTAAGATGCCTAAGATTTGCCACTGGAGTTTAGGAAAAAGGAATATTTTATAAAATAAGACTAACTTTTATTTATTTATTTTTTTTAAGGGAGATTTTTCCTCTAGGACACATGTGCTCACCAAAGAGACAGGGACAAAAAGACAGAAAGCATGAAATTACTCCCCCTCCTCCAGGAAGATGACCATGATGTAATCCCTTCCCCTCCATTCTCTTCTTGGGATTTTGGGGATGCACATGCACCCGGCGTGAGTTTTAAGTGGCCGGGTCCAGGACTCAAATCGCGGTGGACTACACGGAGTCCAGCAACGTAACCATTATACCATCTGCTGGTCCCGAGGCCAACCTTTATTTTAATCTAGTTACAGTATTGTAAAAAAAAAAAAAAAAATTAAAAAGTAGGTTCAACAGTTTCATCATCAGTTTCTTTCTTGGGGAGAGATTATCTGAGTAAAACATTATTTTTCAACAATTTGGCAAAAGGTATTTTCATTGGTTATTTAAAAAATAGCTACATGATAATGAATAAATTATTAAATCTCTCCATTCCTTAGTTTTCTCATCTGTAAAATGAAAAAAAAAAGTTCATTTATAACTCATAATAAATGATTCATGAGATCAAGAACAAAATGCATACAAAGTCCTGGGAAAAGAGCCAGGCATGTAGTAAGTATACAATAAATTATGTCTTTCGTTGTAATCTGTCCTCTCCTGTCTACACTATTTTCATGTTGAGCTGAAACACCATGTTTTATCATTTGTACCACCAACTACCGCCTCACCACTTTACCTCACTAGTCATCCACTGCGCTTGCTTATGCACATTCCAGTGGTGAAGAAGCCAAACTGAAAGCCACCTCAGAACTATACATAGGTTCTAAGTACAGCTCTGAGGGGAAATAGTATTACAATCACACAGATTATAACGTCCAGTTGCACCTGGACTTCATGGTAGCTTCTGTATGTCCTTAATCTCTTCTCTGACGCACTGTCCACATGTACAATAAAT